TAGCAAGAGCCACCAACTGCAGATCTCCACGAGCTGGTATGTCGGATGATTCCCTTGCGTTTAAGGCTTTGAGGTTTCGGACAATTCGGATAAGTCCGTTGTATTGGGGGCTTGGGGGTTTATGCTGGTTTCAGGTTCTTCGGCCAATGAAGCCTACCAGTTGCCTGTGGAGCCGTGCGAAAGCAGTGTCTCTTCTCTGTGAAGTCGCACCGCGAGACACGTCTCAGATTTCTCGCGGCCGGAGTTTGCCGTGTGCTTTTGCTGCTTGTCCCGGTTCCGGAGCTCTTGGCCGTAGCAGCCATAGCAGCATCGCCCCGGCACCAGGTCCCGAACCACAGCGTGCTGACAGCGGACTGTTGATGCAGCTATGTCTGGACCATTTGCAACATGCGCGCTTTGAAGCTGCTTCTGGCCCAAGCATCCAAGGTGTTTCTGCGCCAGCTACTGTTGCAAACTTTGCAGCTCCTCCACTGTTGCTCATGCAAGCTGCACCTGCAAGAGAAGTTTCCAGGGTCCGACCACCTGGGACGGCGAGTGACAAGCATGTGTGATTTGCCTGACCTGTGTGCGTGCTTGGCTGCTGTCCAGCGGGCTCAGGGTCTACGTCGGAGTCCAGGAGAATGCTGTAATTCTTCACAGCTAGCAGCACGCTCAGTATTTTCGCTCTGCTGCACTTGAAAGAACACGCCACAAAGCTGCCACAGCCTTGCCTGCGCGTTTTCAAGATCGAAGTGAAAAGCTGCCCCAACTCACGCGAATGTCGCCGATTCTGGTGATGATAACACTCCTCTAGCCGCGTCGGCACCGCCTGCCATGCTTGGCCGGTCGGAAGTTTCTGAATGCCTTGGCGGGCAGGTTCCAGTCCATCAAACGCCCAACTGCGGCCGCTTGTTTTCCTCACTGCCCTATCTCGTTCATTTTGCACCTTGCCGCCGCAAGAGTGGTGTAAGTGTAAGCAGCTCCGGTTTCTGCGGCGACATGGTTGTGATTTTTCGACTACAGTCTTCTCCGCTGCAGCTCTGGGCAGAGCAAACTGCGTGCTGTGAACTCAAACGCCGCGGAGGCTTCAGCGACCCGAGATGCCCCGTCTGCAAAGAAGAGCAAGCGTTTTGGTGGATGACGGTGGATGCGACGTATAGGTCAAAGAAGTTAAGCATCAACGCCGCAAGTTCTACTACTCCTAGCCTCGTAGCGTAGTGGGGATCCGTTTGGCACAAACTCCGAAGGGCTTCTGAGGAACTCCACAACTTGGCCAAGGCAGTGCGGAGCCTGCAGTGCCTGCGTGGCATGGGCTGCCCTCCCACTGCTTACCATTACAAAAGCATGAGCTCGAGAGCTTGAGCCTGCGAAGACTTTCGGACGTTGCGGAGAAATTCTCACAGCCAACACTTCGTTTGCTCGACTGTGACGAGGCCCTGCACCGCTCGCAAAGCATCAAACCGGCTTGGGAGCTGGCAGCTGGCGCACAAGTTTTGGGCTTTCCTGCTGTCATTCGAGTGCTAAGCAGACATGTTCAGCCAGCGCTGTGAGTCCTGTGAGCTAAGGTAAAAGGCAAGTGTCAACTCTCAAGGCAGCTCAGTGGGGATGGCACGGTCACAGAAAGTGCGGGCTGCCGATCGCAGCCCACAGATCATTGTTTGCTGCTAGCCGCCCAGCAGTTCGGCTTCTGTTGGGACTAGGCCTAGGCCCAGGCCACAGCCTACGTGGGCCTGACATGGCGCATTCCTTCTGCGGCGTGCACTGCAAACGCAGGCTTCAGCGGCCATCGGCACCGAGGTGCACGGCCAGTGCACGGCCGCTCAAACCGCCAAGAACCGCCAGGAAGCCTGAAGCAATGAGTCCTCTGCTCTGACGCTGCTCCTGCTTGTGGCCTTCCTGCTGCTCAAACATATTCCCCCCAAAATGCAATCTTTAGAGCTTTGAGCGCTGCCGCGAGGCTCCTTCCATGCAGGCTGCCTTCGTCATGCCCTGGAGGTGGTCCAGATCCCTGAAGCTTCCGAAGCTGAAGCCTCGGCGGCTCTGCAGCAAAGGGGGTGCCACCACCACTGCCCAACAGTCCTGCTTCGGTGTGCCCTGTCCTGGGGCACTGGAGTCACTGGAGGCTGTCATTGTGCTGCTCTTGGCTTTGTCCCTGTGAGAGCCAACGAGGCAGTAAACCGTGCAGCAAAACTCGAAAGCCCGGGAATATCCTTTACTGCGTTACTTGTAGCCTCAATGGTTGACGTTTTTTCAAATTTTTCGCGTGAAGCAGGCATCCAAGACTTTGGTTCCCCGGAGCTGCCGAGACTTGTCAGGGTTGGAGCTGCGTCAGTACGAAGCAACAGGCAGTGTTCAAGATGTCGCTCAAGATGCTATATTTAAGGATGCCCGCACAGTCACCAACCCGAAGAGCTGACGACATACACCTGATCCGCACGGGAGCTCACAACCTTTGTGCTCAAGGCTCGCAGCAAGAGAGTTCATCCGCACACCACCTCGCCAGCCGGCGCTGGTGCTGCTCGTTGGGCCTCGGCCCCCACTCCACATCATGTCGCACGCACTCTGGCCTTGCCGTCTGTCCCGCCGCGCAGTAGGCGCAATGCCAGCCGCGCATCAGGCCAACACAAACCCCGGCTGTGCTGAAAGCATCCTGACATGACGTGATATCTTTCCCTGGCACCTGGGCGCGCAGCCAGCCGTCACATGCTTCACAGTGTACCCGCCTTTTCAGCTGCATCCAAGCCCCCTCGTAGCAATATTGAAGGAAGCTCTCATGGCGATCTAGCCGGCACACAATGACTTCACCATGGGCGGCCGTTTGACCTGATCTGCACGGGAGCTCACAACCTTTGGACTCAAGGCTCGCAGCACGAGAGTTCATCCACACACCTTCTCGCCAGCCGGCGCTGGTGCTGCTCGTTGGGCCTCGGCCCCCACTCCGCGTCATGTCGTGCGCACTCTGGCCTTGCCCGTGCAGTAGGCGTACCCGCCGGCGGCTGTCGATGCAAAGCTTGTCTTGACAGCGTTCTGCAGCTGCTGTCTCAAGGGTCTTTGGTTTTCTAGATCTGCATGCCAGCCGCATCAGGCCAACACGAACTCCGGCTCTCTCGCAGAAAGCTTTTAATTACGTACAAGGTTCGTGCGCTGCTGCTTATGCAAACGGCGACAGGCGCAGTCCTGTGGACATGGTGCAGAGGCTGCCACCTTCATCCTGCACGTGGATGCCGTTCTAAACCCTCGCCTCTTGTAGGAAGAGTAGGGTAGGCCGGGTATAGGCATTAGGGCGAGTCTGTGAAAACCCTTTCGCGCGCAAGACCGCGCAAGCCTATAAGGGCGGGCGCACGGACTCCTTTTGCACCTATAGGTACTTAGAACAACATCCACATGCCAGAGTGCGTGCCGGGGCATCAATCTCACGCATGCCAGACTTTCTGCCAGCTGCCACAAGACCCAAGACATAAGGCTTTGCTATCATGCAATGAATCGCACAAGATGTTGCTGAGGGTTTGAAGCAGAGCGCCATCTCGAGAAGCTTGTCCACGCCAAGGCTCGGTGTGATGCGCGATGGGATTATCGCTTTGAAGCGCTCAACCCGCTGAGAGCGAACGCACTCATTTTGGCCCCTGGGCCTTGGTCTTGTAAAGGTCTGAGCCTGTTTGCCTTGCCATCCTTGCCACACGCCATTCAAGTGGACAGCACCTTGGCGTAGTGACAGCTCGGGCTTGGCTACATACCCGGTGCGTTTCCACTATGGCTGCACCCTGTGCACGCTGCCATGCGGCTGCTCGTGCACTTTGCGCCGCCTTCCACCAGTCTCCCAGACGTTTTAAGGCCGTTGCGGCTATCGTGGCCCTTGACCCCCTGTCTCTGGCCCGGGGACCTGCAGCGCATGCAGGCTTTTGAATTTTGGGTTGTTGAGAGGCTGCTTGAGCAACGGCGATCAGCCCTGAGCTCTGAAACCCGCCCGTGATGCAGCCAGCACCAGCGCGGACTAGCTTTCCCTCAGCGTCCTTTGACTACAGCGAAGGCGTCAAGGGGAAGGTTTTCCGGTTTTCCTTGCACTTTGGACGGTCACTTGACGGCTTGTGGCTAGCAGAGTGCCGCTGTGCGTGCAGCCGTATAGCATGTGCGGGACAACTGAAGGCGCAGGTCAAAGGAAGCCTGTGTCTCATTGCAAGGCCAGAGTTGAAGGAGCTTTCGATGCCGAGCATGCTTTGCCCAAGGAGGCAACCCCTGACCCTGTCTTGCGATTGTCCTATCTTGGGCCGTGCACCTGCCACCTGACGTGTCCAAGAAAACCAAGCTGCCGCTGCCGGTACACTAACACATGCCGGGGTGGGCTTCCCTACGACTTCCCTCCCACGACCAACCAGCAAAAGGCTGGGGCTCCGAGAACAACCAGAGGAAACTCGACGCACGTCCATGCTGGCACCATTGGCTTCTCCGTGGCCTGTAGTGGTGCTGTTGTGTTTGACTTTGCTCCCTTCCTGGCCCTGCGTGGCCAAGTTGGCTCCAAAGCCGCACGCCGCCGCTCCGGAGCCGTCAAGAATGCTCCCGAGCAATTGGAGACCGCGCAAAAAAAGGGTGCTGCTGCTGCATGGAGCTTGCTTCTGCTTAAGTGTTGCAGCTTAGCTCATGCAGGACCCTGGCAACAATCCGGAAGCCTGCCGTACCATGACCTTTGCTGGAACACGCCACGCAGCACAAATGCCCACATTCGTTTGACATTGGTTGATGCATCAACAATCCCCATGTTAGCGGCCGTTGCTGAACAGACGGCAGGTTGGGTAGGAGGACTTGCCCGGCACAAACTTGACGGGTACATGTAGGTACTACTGAACTTCGTGGCATGGCACACACCACCCAAGCATTGGGTATTGGATGTTGGCTTTCCAAGCGAGAACTGATAATTTGCAATAGTTTTCAAGTAGCATTGGCGACTTGAATCAGTCTTAGAGGTGGGACCATTTTCTGCTTGGAGAATACCGAAGCATATTGCACAGTCTTTGCTAGCTACATGAATGCACATGTTGTTGTCGCACATTTACTCGGCTTGTACCTGGCATAAGCAAGTCTTTGGATATTTGGTCATGGCGGCGGCGACGTTGCGCTCACCCCTGTTGCGTGAAGGCTTGTGATGGGGTGTCACCGTTGAAATGCCCGAACTACACCACGTCCGTTTTCTTGACCACATCTCAGTCTGAGACCTGATTGCAGTGCATTTGCATCTTGCGACGCCCGACACGAAAGATTCATCAAAGCAAGTAACAAGCTAGAAGCAGCTTACTCGGATATCCAGGCAGATGTCACAGAACCTATATAGATGGGAACTTCAAAACGAAACTCAAACTCGAAACCGGTCCTTCGGTAACTTGTCTAAACCGTAGCTATTCTTGGTCAGAGACCCTTAATAGGGGCCTGAATCGTTTCAATCTTAGGGGTTTGGGGCCATATGGTTATCATGATTTATCATGTGTGTCACATGTATAATGTATGCAGGAACCGGAAGGACGAATATTGGTAATTATTCATGCAGACCCCGTTCCTGGTCGGAGGCGCCAGACCGCTTCTGGTGGCCCACCGCGCCGGTGCCGGCGAGGCCCCGGAGCCGCCCCAGCTGCGAAATTTTTGGCTTGGGTTTTGGTTTTTTTGGGGTTTTGGTGCGTTTAGATTTGGGGCATCGGGCATTGGTTCTTTAGGATCTGCAAGGCGGCTTCGGTTGGATTGAAACATGAACGCCCATGCAGTGATGTAATACGTTAGACGAAATGACTTTGATACCAGTATCCTCGGGAAGTTCTTTATGCTCGTGCGTACATTGTACCCCAAACGCCGATTCGAAGTCTGCAGGTCCGCATATGAGTGTCGCTGCCGGTGCTTCGTGTCTTCCTGACTCCTCCAATTAGAATGGGGACTGGTTTACTAGCTAGGTCCCGAAATATTTCAGAATTTTGATCGTGAACATCTGTCTCAGACTCTCAGACGTGCGTGCGTCTCGTATCGATGATGTCACATGACATGGTACCGGACGATTTTGTCGTATTTGTGGTCAGGGTTCAGGTTTAAGGGTTCCGGCTTTACATACATGGCATAAATGGTAGTTCGGTTACGGTATTTCAGGGACCAGCAGCCCCGGAACATCGGGAACAAGACTTAACAAGACTGTCGAGCCCGCTCCGCAACGGATCTCAGGAACACCTTGGAGAGCTTGAAGTACTGCATGGACCTTCAAGTTCCCTTGGTTCAGAACCTTGACAAAAGCATATGCAAAGCCTTGGAGGGCGCTCAGTCATGCGGGCCGCCTTGTCGACCGCATGCTATCAGTGTGAGGGGCTGGGGCCGCGGATGCACCGAGCCCACCCACTCTTAGGCTTTTGTTTGTTATATTCCTCTCTCCCTCTCTCTTTGACACACACACACACACACTCTCCCTCTCTCTCTCTCTCTCTCTCTCCCTCCCTCCTGCTCTCTGTCTGTCTCTCTCCCTCTCTCTACCTCGTGCAGCTGACGCTCCATGGCCGAAGAACCCTCCAATTCGCGTGACTGCAAGCATGAATTGCCAGCAGAACGGCCAGACACCCTCGTGAGGATCCCCGCGGTTTAGGGTCCTGCCATTAGGATGGATGTGATGCGGACCAAAGATGGACAGCTCGTCCTCTTTCATGATGTGCCTGTTGAGAAGAACTTGGAGAAGTTGACCGGCGGGGCGCTCAGAGCTCGCGTCTTCCGGGAAGTGCTGAAAGAAGTTTGCAGTGACCCCCGAGCTACGCCAGAAGCGAGAGACGACTGCAATCTGGTGCGACTAGAAGGATTTGCACGAAGCAATATTGAGGGTGTCTGCATTCCCTCCGTTGCTGCTAGCTTCCTGGAGGCGTCGCTGGCGACATTTCCAACTACGCCTACGACGACCTTCCGGACAGCGCAGAGTCGGTGATTCGCACGGGGCTTCTTAAGAACTTTGAAGCCGAGACACTGCCGGGGTGTGGGGTTTGGAGCTGAGGCTAAGGGCTTTGAGTTTTCGGGTGTAAAGGACCTTGGATTTGGGGCCGAGGGTTTAAATTCAGGCCCAAGATTGACAAGTGACAAGCCCCTTTTCTGTGTGACATGATAGGAGTTTGAGGGCCTTACAGTTCAGGGTGCTCTCGGCCAGGACTTCAAGAAAGAGTTTGAGGCCTCCGCTATGTGCCCACCTGGCAGCAAGCCAGTGCCCGTGCAACAGAGGCCTGGCCTCTGGTAAGCTGAAACCCCCATCTGTACAACCCTGAAGTGCTGTGAAGAAGAGCTGTAAACAGAAAAGACTAGAAGATCCTACCACCCGGCGACCCCCTAAATCCTGGAGGCGCATGAGCCTCTTCAAAGATGCCTGTCGGGCCCTGGCTGCCAGCCGCACCGATCTCATTCTCGAGTTCTGGCAGGAGAGGGCCCGAGGATTCGAGCTCCTGAGTTTACACAAGATTTACGACGGACTTGAGGCTTGGGGTAGGCTGGACAACTCGCCAGGTTTTGGGCCAGGGCTCATGGAAAATACGAATTAGGGTGTCGGGAAAATTGTATGTTGTGAGTGTACAGACGATCAGACAAAGAGGATGCTGCTACTGCTTGGTCAGACCCCTACATTCGGGTCATTTCGGGTCGGTGGTTCGGGTGTGGTTTACTGTTCAACCCCTGGAAGCGCAAAGCTTGTTGCAGGAGTCGGAAGTGGTCGTGCGGGTCATCGGCCAGATTTCAGCAGTTTGTGTTTTGACCGATATAGGACTTGTAAGTGACCTGTGGATTTCAGTTGTACAAAGCCGGTGTTTTGTCAAGCCTCTAAACCATAGATGACCATCATTTCGCGGCGTATTTGGACCAGACAAGGCCGCGGGATTGGGTGGAATACAGGAGTATCTCCAGCGATCTGAGCTGTAAACGTACCTTATGATGACTGTCGATATAGCAGGATTGTGTTCATATCAGCAGTTTCGCCGCCGCCGAGGAAGCTTTGGAGGTGCTTCGGGAGTTCGGGCTGCAAAGCCGTGTGGCCGCGTGGGGCTCTCCGGAACTCGCACCGATACAGCAGCCTGGTTTCTCGAGAGGTGTTGTTTACGTGAGCTTTCTCGTGATAATTGACAGTATGGGGATAGTTAACTGACACTTGCCGGTGTCGGGATTTAGGTTTCTGGGCTCGGACAGTCGTTGGCTTTCTGCTGCTCTTTAAATCGTAACCCCCGTATAAACCTTGGTCATGACACCGCAACCAGAAAAAGGCCCAAAGGCTTAAACCCCCTGAATGCACATGGGGTTTGAGCAAACTGCGGTACTATTGTCCTCTTACGCTTGTGTTGTTACCTTTCATGTTTCGGTTAACAATACAATAAGCCCCTCAGCCCCACTTCCTTTCCCATGGCCCGGCCGGATGCAAAGCCCTGAACGACGGACGATGGAAACCAGACTTGAAGTCAGGATTGTCCTTTGGCAGACTCAGGCAGTGGTGCCGGAAGGCATGCCCAGAGATCCCGGTCATCGCTACTTTCGTGTCGAATACAATGCTTTGAGACCTTCCTGTTGGGTTGATGTGCCTTTATAGTAAAACTGCAAAGACCAAACAGGCTCAAACTTTCGTTGGGGACCCGTCAGGTTACCTTCAAGCAATCCTTCCTGGTATGGTTCTATTGGAATGTGGGGCTGCTGCGCAGCCAGGCCGCAGGAGGCGCTGAGTAGGTCCAAAAAGACGAGCCTTCTCTGCGCAACGCACCGAGGCTGCGGCTATCCGGCAAGGCGGTTGCTGCCCTTCTTTTCCGAGAGCGAGCCCAGGGTCGTCTTCAACGTTCTTCACGTTTCTGAGGCTGTCCTTCTTACGTATGAAGGGGCCATTGCTTGCGTTCTACAAATCCGGGGTGAGTATTGTGAGCGTCTGATATCAGAACCCAAAGCCCCGGCCTTCTACTTAAGTGCCTCAGCTGCTAAGCTGCGATGGGACAGGCCCTGCCTCACGCGATCTTCAAGCTTGCCAAAGTCGACCCCGAACAGTCGCCGATTCGTGCTGGCCTGATTCGCCTGCTGCTGCGACTGCTCAAGGCCTCTGTGGCCCTGGCTGCCCGGGCATCCACACGCCCAAATCCTTCAACCCTGAGAGTTCATATTATGGGGCACCTAGAATCCTTTTGGGCCGGGCTGTTACAAGATGCCGAGGTGCTGGGGCTCTGGGCTTTAACTTTAAGCTGCGGCTGAAGGTCCAAGCGATGCGGTATGATTAGTGCTTTTGCTGCCCGTCAAGGCCTTTACTGACACGCCGCGGCTCTTTGGCTTTCTCTCGGAACGCCACAAGGCTCGGTGCAGCGGAGACAGTACATTTGGAAGCTGGTTGTTTGTCGGTGGATGGTCTCACAAGGAGCAAGAAGGGGCTTTAGGGTTTAGGGTTCATATGCTTGACCCTAGAATCCCAAACCTTACAGGCTTCCTCCATCTCCTAAACTATCGACGCGACGCATGGTCTGCACGTAATTCTCGGAGTCCATCCGGGGGAGGCACAGCTTTGTTTCTCAAGTGGTCCGGTTGAGAAGCTCAGGGGGTGGGTCGAGTTGGATCAATTCAAATTGCTAGTGCCTTCAACTTGCATGCTTTAGTTGTGAGTTGGGCCATCCGAAGCCGTCAGAGGTCCCCACCGTGCTCTTCATCGCCAATACGGCAAGGGATGTGGCCACCTGCAGCTCATATCCTGGCGTCGTGGCCGTGCAGACTGACTCCCGACCAAAGTGTTCTTGCTTTGTGGTTGCTCTTCACCGATCAAACTCAGTGATGGTGGCGCTGCAGGTAAGAGTGTTGACAAGATCAAGTCCGTTGGCCCACTTCCTGTTGTCGTGTCAACATGAGGCATGTTCTGTCCAACGATTGCCACCAAGGACTTTCCGAAGCAATTTCGAGCGGACTTGGCGATGGCTAAGTAGGTGGAGCAGGGGCTGTTCTATGTGAAAATCAGAAACTCGTGAAGATCGAGCTTAGTCCATGTGGCGGGATGCTTTTAATCGGTTTTAGGCACAAGTTTTAGATTTTTGTTGTTGCTAGTCAACTCCCAATTGCCTTTGAAGCAGTAGGGGCAACCGCAGCATCGGCAGATCGATTGACAAAGAGAAACACCGGCGCTTTGGCAGCTTGCATGAGCATGGCCGGTCATCATGTTAGGTTCCTGAGGGAGAGGACGTCGCGGGCTCTTTCCAGTGTAGGGTTGAGGATTTCAGGAACGTCATCACCCGAATTGCTCTCTTGCCACAACCTCTTTCTGGCGCCCAGATTTCGCTGTAGGAGGGCAGTGCGAGTTGCACACAGTTTTGAGCCCTCGTTTGCATAGCTCACAGCGTCGCACTTTAGCCCCGAATCTTGCGCAGATTTTGAACATCTATCATCTAATCGTCAGCCAAAGGCGTAGCTGCATCCAGCAAGCTGATGCACGATTACACCCACAGCTGCATCTCGCCTGTCCTCCACCAAAGGTGCATCCCCCGTCTTCGAAATCCGCTTCCCACCACAAGCCTACACTGCCTACGCACACTCGGATGCCTGCTTTACCGTTGTTTCGGAGGGTCGTCGCACTGTGGCCCGATCCCGTGTGCTTTTGCGCTTAAGGGGTGCTTCCGGGTTGCTTAGCTTGGGCCGTTTCAGGGAACTTCTCAGAACGATGTTCCTTGTCTGGGAAGGGACTCAGGCGATATTCGCATGCTCCAGAGCTGTTTGCATGATCCTTCAGCTCGGAGTCTTGGAGAGCGGAGAACCGTTGCAAGTACGGCATGGGCTCAGAAGCAGTGAGCAGGTATGCACTGCATCGAACTCCTGAATCCAGCTTCACAGTCGCCTGCCTCTAGTCATTGTAGGGCTTGTCGTGCGATGTTCACGGGAAGACTCTGATTCATCCGCTGCCCATGCTAACCGTGATGAAGCTTTGTACCAACTCTTGCTGGCTCGCAGAGTCACTCCAGGCTTACCTGCTGCAACCTTCTGAACCCAGAGAAATCAAGCTACACCAGGCGCAGAAAACAGCACACCCCTCTTTGAGCGATGCCGCGGGGCTTCCTGGCAGCCCTCTTGGGTCCAGAGGACTCCAGAGGATGCCGGAGTTTCGATTCTGTTACTGGTACAAAATTACTGGAGCGTCTTTCTTGCGGAATCCGGCCTCAATGGTAAGTGGTATCCAGCAGGCTGCCTTCTTCGCGGCCTGTGAGGCCAGAAGAAGCAGTCAACTAGCCTCACCTTATAGCGTGCAGCATCAACTAAAGATCGTGGCATCATAAGTATAGCAGTCCCCAAACGTAGCATACAAAAACCCACCCAAACGCGACGATACTTACTTAGGCGTCCATGGCTGTTTGTGGCCCCCCACACGGATTGCAATTCGGGCCAGGATGCCCCGAACTGGGAAGCACCAGTCCCACCACGGCTGCTTGGCCGACCGAGCTTGCAGGGCTCAGGTTATTCTTGCGCGGATCTAGGGTTTGGAGACGTTTGGGGTCAGACGCAGGGCCCTGGACCGCTTTTTATGCATTGTCTTGAGGATCCAGATCTAGCAAGCCAGTGGATGGTAGTCCTTGAGAAGCAACGTTTGCATCACTCACTGAGCCATCTCAGGCATCGTCCTTTGCAGGCCAGCCAGCAAGATTTGCAAGAGTCGCATTTCGGATATGTGCAAGGCTTTGTTCGGCCTTGGGAGCTCTGAGTCGAGTTATGTGAAGCACACGCATGTAGAAAGGTTCGGACGTGCTGGTGTCCCCATCGGTCATGTCGCTGCAGTCCTGCAGTCGCTGAGCTTTCACGAGCTGGAGCTCGGAGCATGAAGTCATTGCTTCTGTTGCCTGATCATTCCGCTGCTCAGCTGAGAGTGCGTGTATGCACGCGGAGGTAAGTACGGAAGCTGGTAGGTACATGGGTATGTATGCAGAGTGTACATGCAGTATATGTCTTATTCCTCCTGTTTTGGGTTTGCTTTTGTTTGGGTGTGTGTGTGTGTGTGTGTCTGTGTGTGTGTGTGTGAGTGAGTGAGTGAGTGAGTGAGTGAGTGAGTGAGTGAGTGTGTGTGTGTGTCTCTGCGTGTGTGTGTGTGTGTGTTTGTTTGTGTGTTTGTGTTTGTGTGTGTGTGTGCGCGCGTGCGTGCGCGTGCGTGCGCGTGCGTGCTCGTGCGTGCGTGCGTGCGTGCGTGCGTGCGTGCGTGCGTGCGTGCGTGCGTGCGTGCGTGCGTGTGTGTGAGTCTGTGTCTGTCTGTGTCTGCGTCTGTCTCTTTTTATGTCGTCTTGGGGGTTGGCTGTGTATCTCCATGCACCTCTCTGTCCCCCTGTCTCCCTCCCTGTATTTCACAGTGTCTCGTGCCCTTTGTCACTTCGCAGGGAGGGGAGGGGATGTTGATCACATGCCTCGGCTTGCAGGGCGTCAAAGACACGCCCCTTGACGCGCCGGCAGCTCTGATAGTTTGCTACGCATGCCTGTCGTTGAAGCTGCAAACACCGTTGCGAAGAGCTTCCGCCTTGAACAGTAGCACTTCGCAAACATACCACCGTCATGCAGTCAAGCAGCAGGGACTTGGGTTTGAATTGGGTATGGCATCTCGGCATCGTCCACCAAAGCCTTCAAGCATCACGGAGCCCAGGTCCGTTGCGGTTTGCCCCTTTCCAACATCCCGCCGCTGGGTCCGGCCACTCAGACTGCCCCTGCAGGGTCAAGCGGCTTCAACCTCCATGCGTTCTCTGAAGTCCAGACGGTTCCGAGGCCTTGAACCCACCAGCTTGAAACGTCGGCACGTCCATATGGCCGTTCAGGGCCCTTTGCCAGTCGAATTCCGTTTGTCTAAGTTGCTTCCTTCTTCAGCTTCTGGGGCTTCTTGAAGGCAGAAATTTTAAAGACCTCAGCGAACAGGCCGAAACGCAAATTCCAAACGGAATGCCGTAGGACAGTTTCCTGCATTAACACATGCTGTTGGTTATGCTGGCTTCATGGGGGGTTACGCAGTTTTTGCTCGATCGCTCGTACTGGCTAAGAGCAGGTTGAGCAGCATGTTTGCACTGGGGGAGGGGGGTCCTATACTGCATCTGTATGTATGTATGCATGATTATGCATGTATGCATGTATGCATGTAATGTAATGTAATTAGTGTAATGTAGTGTATTGTATTGTACTGTAATGTAAGGTAAGGTAAGGTAATGTAATGTATGTATATACAGGTATAGCTTATATACCCACACATATTCATCGAACGTGTGTATATATATATATAGACATATATATATATATATGTGTGTGTGTGTGTGTATATGTTTCTTTTTTACTTGCTGATTTATGTTTATATCTATGTTTACATACACTTGTATCTATACTGATTCATTCATTCGTGTACAAATATGCATTTCGTACATTTTTTGGTACGCATATATATATATATATATAGAGAGAGAGAGAGAGAGAGATTTTTACACTCCAATATGCCCACTGAGGCACACCTCTCGAGTTTTTTGGCAGGCACGGGTGCACAAACATGGGTGTGAGCTATTGGTACTCATATCCTGTTGTAGACAGTCCACATTCAGATGTCAACAGCAAAGCCCCGCTGGAGGGAAGATTGATACCAGGAGGGATGGAAAGCTAAGCCCATGATCTCAAATTCAAGTCCAGCGTGAGATGCGCAACTCAGGGTTTGGTGCAAATGACTCGTCGTATGCTCATCTCTGCAGTGCAGTTGATTGCATGCATGCGGAAGCCATGGCCTTCAAGCATGCTTGCTGTTTCTTGCATGCGACAAGGGCGTTGCACACAGGCGTCTCACCGCTGAAAGACTGCAGTCCTTAAAGATTCGGCTGCCTGGGATTTGGCGAGGGTTTAGGCCTATGTCCGCTGTCCAGGTGAGGTCCACTTTCATGCTCCGATCGACAACGCCGTGGACCCGGACTTCGTTAGAAGTCAGGAAGTTAGACTTGCCCTCGACCCTTCAGTTTTCAAGTCCCGAACTCTTTCCCAAGTTCATCACTGACCAGCCTTCACCTTTAATTCTTTAAGTCAAGTCCTGAAGTGCAAGCCGTTCATTGTCATGCCGCAAGCCCACGATCGCAACATGAGGCCGCTGCAAGTCCGGTCCTCGGGATGGTTGCAGTCTCTGTCTTGGGAGCATCCACGCGGCGATGGTTTGGTTCAAGCGCAGACACGCGGTTTAGGGTTAAGGGTTAAGTGTAGTGTCAGGGTTGTGCCTTCGGAGCATTTGCAGCTTGAGAACCTGGGCACTATAGACTTCCGCCTGTCTGAGTCTAAGCAAAGCACCCAATCCCACGACGGGACGGCGTCTCGCATGGTGCATGAACAGTTCTTGCCTTGTAACAACTAACCTGGTGTTTTGTTCCAGTACTGAGCATGCAGCCAACTAATTGAAGCTGGCTGTTGAGTTCCCCTGTGTTTCTGGATGTGCGCGTGTGGTGTGGAACTTCATGCCTGGGCAATGCGCAGATTCAACCTACACGACGAGCTCGAGGGAAGACGACGAGCTTGGGCCCTGATATGTTTCTGGGTCATGCGTGTCTCGAATATCAGGCAAAGTGTCCCCTTTTCTGCTCTCGTGCCAGGATTTTGTCTTGGGTTTCGTGGCTGTAGACATTTGTTCAACCTGCAAGCTTCCGGGTCAGGCACAGCCAACTTGTTTATCCAGGTAGCGTTGTGCTTCTTGCACAGGTCGGCGTAGCTTCAGCAAGTTGCTTGCTGCTGTGCGAGTGCCGATCACAGCTTGTAGGTACCGGCGCTCGGCAACTCGTAGTCCCGCAAGCGTAAGTCCGGGCATGCCCGTTCCTTTGCCTGAATAACACTGGGTGGATGGGGGCATTGTGTCCATGCGCTGAGTCTGTCAATCAGCATCAACCAGCAGCAGTTTACAGCAGGCAACGAAGCCACATCCTGGAATTCCCCTGCGATCCTTGACCCTAAACCG